ATTTCCAATAAGCCCTTGGATTATTGGATCTTATAAATAAGATCCAATAAGAGCTAATGAAAGATTATTGGGTAGAGATCCACTAATCCAAGAGACTTGGATAGTTGAATGGAGATCTAGTACCCAATAGGACAGGATCCATTAGAGTTAAGTTGACAATGACCTCTATAAATAGGAGGGAATCAAAGAGGCATAGGTGAGATGCTTTTTGGCTATCACCTCCTATTCTTCTCCCTCCTTCTCCTCCCCAGCCGACAGCCCTAGTTTTGGGAGTGTGGATAGCAACAAAGGTCGACTCCTTCTTGATCATGTGGTGCGCATAGAGAGGAAGATTGTGCAGTGATTTGAGGAGCGTCTTTGCCACATCTACTATGTGGATCAACGATATAGAGGAGGATATCTAACATCCTTCATCCTCTCCTACAAATCTAAAAATTTACAGGGATATATGATCTCCCTAAGTAACACATCTTTCATATATATATATGTAGTTTTCAGTTTTGTGGGTTTTTCGAGCACCAATCTTCGCATGATGACGAGAACCTTTTTTCTGTAGGAAATCTAAGAGTTTTTGTTTTTTGTTCTTTCGCTGTGCATGTGATGCTGGTTAAGGTTTTCCAACACAAATCACATTTAGTGGCCAAGGGGTTTCACCAATGACTGGGTGTTGACTTCAGAGAAACATTCAATCCAGTTGTTAAACCAACAATAATCTAACTTATCTTAAGTTTGGTTGACATATATGCCAACTGGATATTAACAATGCTTTTTTACAAAGGACCTTAACTAAAGATGTCATTATGTACAACCTTTTGGCCTTATCTACCCTCAATATCCAAGTTATATTTATAAACTATAAAAAGCTATTTATAGACTTCGCTAAGCTCTAAGAGCTTAATATACCTTGCTTATTTTTGGCGTTAACTGACTTCATCAACTCTAAGTCTAACACCTTATTATTTCTATCGCAACAAAAGGGAAGTACTACATATCTATTAGTGTATGTGGATGACATTATCATTATAAACAATAATCCTATAAAAATCAAGCAATTCTTTAAGTAGTTGATAAATCGATTCTCCATCAAAGATCTAGGAACATTAAGCTACTTTTTGGGAGTGGAAGCAACTTCACATCTTTTGAAATTTTCCTATCTTAAAAGAAGTACATTTGATATCTATTATCAAAAATAAACATGCAAAATGCCAAAGAAGTTGTCACTCCAATATTTACTACTGAACCACTCAAATTATATGATGATAGCCCTATTATAGATCCCACACAATACAAACAAGTACTTGACTCCTTACAATATTTATCTCTCACATATCTAGATATATCATTTGTAGTCAATAAATTATCATAATTTATGCATTAGCCCTCCACTATGCATTGGTTTGCAGTAAAACGAGTCCTATGGAATCTAAAAGGTACTCTCAATAATAGACTTCTTCTTCACAAACACTTATCACTTCATCTCTGCCTTTATTGATAATAAAATGTCTATATTAGCCTATGTTGTCTTCCTTGGAGTAAATCCAATCAGTTGAAGTTTTAAGAAATAGAAATCAATCATAAGATCTACCAATAAATCTGAATACTGAGCTATCACTACCGCTACTGTAAAATTCAACTGAGTCACTAATCTACTACAAGAACTTGTTATTACCTCCAAATCCACTCCGACAATATATTGTGATAATGTCGGTGTCATCTACCTATGTGCCAGTCTAGTATTCCACTCATGCATAAAACACATTGCTATCAACTTTTACTTCATCATAAATCAAGTTGTTAGATATCAACTATCTGTTTCTCATGTACATTCTTCTGATCAACTAGTAGACTCCCTCACAAAGCCTCTCGCCCATAAGACATTTCAATTACATCGATCCAAGATTGACATCCTTGATAGAAGTGTTGAATCTTGGATTTTGATAATGAAACCAATTGATAATGTTATGATCTTAAATGTGTTTTAAATGATGTTGGACTAGATTCGATTAAGGAGAGGCAAATTGATTGAAGTAGGAGGAATCGGACGTTGGCCGGAGTTAAACATGTCAGAAGATTGGACGTCGGGCCGAAAGATCGATCGACGTGTCGGCAGAAGGCTTCGTACCGTGAATTCGGGCATTGGGTCGAAGGATCGGATATTGCGCCAAGGAGATCAAAAGTTACAGGCGTCAACATACCGATTGGGCAATATGCCAAAGGAGAGGACGATGCACCAAAGGATTGAATGAAGCACCGGAAGAACCAATGACATACAGGACAATAGATGATTCATGCTTTCTAATAATTTGTCTAGATCAAGTTAGTTTAGGTCATAATTGGGTTGGTTTAGAATATAATTAAGCCAACTCAATTAGGGACCAATTGAGCTCAAAGTGGGATTGTTTTGGGCCAAGAGAAAGGCTCATTCAGTGACCCAAAAGTTTGGTCAAGCGGTGGTACCACTAGTGGCTTAGTCTCCGAGATATTGTCTTCAAGACTATGTTAAGCGATAGTACCACTAGACTAAGTGGTGGTACCGCCCAGTATCAAGCAATGATACTATCAGTTTTGACGATTGTACCACCCAAACATAATCTCCCAAACTGTGTCAGGCGGTGAGACCACCCAATGTCAGTGTTGTAGGTAGTGGTACCGCTAGTACTCGGGAAACCCGGGATGAGACCTCTTTTGGCTCCAATTTTGAAGTCATTTGGGGTCTATAAATACCTTAGCTATTCCTACATGGAGAAGCAAGAATTGAGCATGAAATTGAGTTGAAAGAGGGAAAAGAATACTGAAAAAAATTTTATAACCTCTCTTAGGATTTAGAGTCCTTTCGTCCTAGTATTTAGAAAGTTCTTCTAAAGGGAGAAGTGAGGTCTAAGAAAGCTAGATTGTAAAAGTTATCTCCTAAACCTATGAAAAGGAGAAAGAGTGTAAAAGGGTAGTTGATCTTCGCCCATTGAAGGAAGATCGGTAGTAGAAGTCAGTGGCCTCGAGTGAAGAGGAATCGGGAGTGGATATAGGTCATGATGACCGAACCACTATAAAACTCGGTTTGCATTTACTTTAAGCTCTTTACTTTCATTATAAACTGCTTTACTTACTTATTCACTACACTTACAAATCCTTTCAAGTTAAACTCTTCTCAGATATCGATTTTAATCGTATGAAGATTTTTAAACCGACATAATTTTTATCGCTGCACTAATTCACCCCCCTGCCCCCCCCCCCTCTTAGTACCGACTCGATCCTAACAAGAAGCTCAATCTTGTGGGGGCATGATAAAAGATCATAATAGAGACACATATAGAATAGCATCCTTGCTTTGAGGATCAATATATGATTCGAGGATAAATCACAGATTTGAGTAGCTAATCTTATTGTGTGATTTGAGTGATTGATTAAGATAATTCTCTTCATTAAAATTTGTATAAATACTCATCACCACAATGAATAAAAATCATCTCTTTCATAATATATCCTCAATTTTATACAATGTACTTCTTTGTTCCATAGAGTTAGCATACGAAGAACTCATACAGCAACATTGTGCAAGACCTAAGTGACAAATGACAAAGAAAAACCATTTATTTAAGATATTTTCAACTTTCACAACCTGTGCATTAGTTGTTTAAAATGATATATATACGACAAGCTTGGTACCTAAAATTCATTAATATTTTTGTAGATCATATATATCTCTCTCTAGATGCTTGTAGTCCTGTGACTCAGTAGATATAGTCTACAACCCTACAATCTACACAAAAAAAAAAAACAGTTAATCTTCACTGACGCAAAACTCATCATTTATATATGTTTGCATTTGTTATCTTTTTCTATTCTTTTAATTTCAATCTACATGTCAACCATTCTTCCTCCTAATCAAGTTAATTAATATAAATTTATTGATAAATACTGTGTTGCTGGAAGAGTCATTATATGAAGAAAGATCTTGTTGATGATCAAGCTTCTTTTTCTACATTTCTATGATCTTTCAATTAGGAGCTTCGATGACAACAAAAAAAAGGAATTTATATTTAGTGTTCTAAATTAAGATACGAGAGAAGAAAAGCATATTGTCATTGAAGAGGTAGAAGTACTATATCGATTAGTTGTATCTATTATTATTTTTCTACTATATCGAGTAGAAAAATAATAAAGATTTATAAATGTCAAGCAATATATTAATGTCGAGCTTCCTTTAACCCATGAAGGGTGCTTTAGATCTTGCCAAAGTTTGGCTTCTACTAATTGAGTAGGATAACAATAGTTAAATTGGGCATGGGTTCAATAATAACTAGCAATATAGAAAGGTCTGTAAGTTATGTGTTTTATGTATGACAACATATTTAAATTTGACAATCACTTCGATTGCATATGCAAAAGATTACAAACCCAAATTTCTAATTTTGATTGCAAACAATGTAGTATGTTCATGAATATACTTGTTAGGTTTTTATGCTGTAGAGAGTTACATATTTGTATATCCCTCCCTACATTTTAATGGATATCTACGTTGATTTTTCTTGTTCTTTCTTCAAGACATGAACTGTTAAGTGTGTCTTAAATTAGGGCTTGTGTTCTAATCTAAAGGATTGACAAGTGAATTCATGTAGAGGCAATAGGATCCAAAGTAATAATCATGCATCTTTTTCCTACCATGATGTTAAAGGGCATGAATAATCTGTTTCATTTCCAAGATCAACAACTGTTTGAATAATATATAAATGGCAAATCTTTCTTGTACTCTTGAGGGTCATCAAGGGCTACGACTATTCCAAGCAAAATGCATTAATTAAGATCAAACAAACAAGGAAGACAACTCCTTCACATTCTTATGTGGGCTTCTAGTCTCTTCCAAGATTAGAAATCTATGCACTCTAAAGCAGTTCTGCATTAGAGTGCTCTTTGTGTAACTACAACCTCTTCTTTACCTCCTTGGATTAAAGTTCCTCTCTCCTCTGCTGATAGAGAAGCCACACAAGGATGCCAATTGAGTGTAGAAAACTGGCTTAAGTGATCAATCCTTAAAAGTTCTGATACAGAGAACAACACCTTTCAAATCCATATAAAGATTAAGGTAGACGTGCTACCTTTCAAACAGTTCGTCTTCTTCTTTACAGAGATTTGGAGTTTGGGTTACCACTGCTGGTGATCAGCTCCAAAAGTTGGAGTAGATCTGCATTTGATTCAGCATGTCTTCGAAGTTGTCGTTTGGCTTCTCTATGGGATGACTGTGCACGCCCTCGTACGTGGTCACCACCACGCTTTCATCCCTCGACAGCCGCTGCACTTGCTTCTTCACGTTGCAACCTTGATGCGTACACCGGTAGTAGCTTCTGTAGCATTCATGCTTAAGTTGATATCAGAATCAAATCATTTGTATCATTTTCTATTTTGTTTCTTTTGGCAAGCATTCAATCATTAACTTAAATCTGTATTTATGTCGCTCGATTGTTTTTTGACGTCGACAAAATGGAAAACCAGCAGCAAAAATGCTTTGGAGAATCCATGTACGATATTATAGCGAGAACAAATGATGGGGACTAAGATATTATATATATATATACATATATATGTATATATATATATATATATACATATATATGTATGTATATATATATGTATATATATATATACATGTATGTATATACATATATGTATATAAATACATACATATATATATACATATATATGTGTGTGTGCAAAAGAAAAAACTCGGTTAATGCTTGCACTGTTCTTAGTCAAATTTGACCACCCACCAACAATCTATTCCCTGAATGATGGCTGCCAAAAGAATTGATTGGTGTACAGTCCTTGTCTTGTAGAATTCACACAATTGTCAAGAACAAGATAAGCAAGATAAATCTTCTCAGATTGCATTATCAGACAGCGATTTCCTCTCGCTTTGTTTTTTGTGAGAAAAATCTAAGAATATGTAGCAGGAGACCATGATCGACTGACCTCGGGAACTTGTTATTCTTCACCGTCTTCTGCCCATACTTCCTCCAGCGATATCCATCGTCAAGTATGTCGACTTGGCTTCGAGTTTGGAAGGCATAGCGTGGCTTCCTCACCTTATTCTCTTTCTTCTTCCCGGGCTTTATCTCGTTCTTTGCGTCTCCATGGGAGGTTCTAGCCCTCATCTCATCGTTCAACCCCGAGAACCCACTTGAGCTACCGCCACGGAGACTGCCAAAGACGGGGGTGATCCCGATCATGTTGGATGACCGGTGGGAGGGATGTCGAGAGCGAAAGGAAGTGGAAGAAGAAGATGACTGCTGTGTAGGAAATTGGGTTGGATAGTTATGCATAGTACTACTGTCTGCAAAAAGAGAGAGATAGAGAGAGAAGAGCTGAGGATGTGGAAGACAACACACGGAGAGAAGAAGAATAGTGGCAATTAAGGTAGATGGCGACTATGGTGCGTAGATAACGGTGGTATATATGAAGTGATTAACCTGGCCATCAGAATGGAGAAAAACACAGCGGAGGAGTCGTGAACGGCACGACAATTAGTGGCCAACAGAGCCTTGGCACTTACTATTACTCGTAGAGGGACACTGACATGAAGACAAAGCTGCAGCTAGCGTCCTTCGATATGCTCTTCATGACTGCATGCCTTTGACTTTGATATATATATATATATACATACATATATATGTATATATATATATATATAT